CTCAGGGCCCACCGGCGTCAGTACAAGTCCCAGGGCTTCCCCGTGACCTTGGCGAGGCCGTCACCCCGCGGCTGGAAAAGGGCCGCAGGCACCGGCCGGGGGGCCTGGAGGAGCCGGGGTCCCGCTGCGTCGCAGGGTGGAAAACAGCCCGGGACCCAAAGAAAGGAGCAGCCAGGACCTTACACACCCGAGATCACCTCCAGGGAACGAGCCTGCTTGTCTCTGCCAACCACAGACCTTTGTGTCCATATCATTTATTTGCTTCCTGGCAAAGAGATTTGCCAAAATAATCTTCATGAATATGCCCATGCCCACAGCTACCAGCAGCTCACTTTGTCCAGCTGTTAAATTTAGACACGAGTCCCTGTAGGCTTGGCTTTGGACGGGTGAGTTTATTATTTAGGGCTGACCATCCGTTTTGGACCACAGGTATACGCGGATAATAGTTTATTCTGCTACTCAATAGGTCCTGATCGTTAGCCTTGTTAATTAGTTTGTTTGGGAATATTAAATCCTAGGACTCACGAGCAGCAGGTTCTCATTGTCGCCACCACCGTTCCTGGGCCACGGGACACGAGAGAGCAGCTGTCCCCTCACCCTACAGCGCACTGGGAGTTTAAAAACTTGTTTCTCTTAAGTTCTCCTTGGTCAATTTCTTAAACAATGGACCACAATGAAACTTCGAGAGTTTTTCTTGGGGCACTTGCCACGTGTGTGACAGGGCCGTGCGCCCCTGTCATTGGGTAGCTGGGTTTCCACTGGGCTGCAGCAGGTGGTGCTTAGGAGGCATCCTTACACCCCCACGGACGTAGAGAGCGCGTGTCTCGTTTGCGGACCAGCGCGGTGACGTCGCTGCTGCAGCGTCCCCCACCCTCGTTTCACCGGGGCAGAGACCACAGCTCCCCCACACAGCCCTCCCTCCTGACAACCCCCTGCCCTTCTTTGTGAGACGCCCGGAGTCACTGGAGGCGGCCAGGAGTTTCCACTCGGCAGCCGGTGACCCCGTCCTCGCTCTGAGAGACGTTTTCCAAACCTGGAGCTGGCTGAGCATAAGAAAACGCACATCAGATTCCAGGTACTGGTTCATCTCATCCTCAGATGCCTCCTGGCTGCTGTGCAAACTGACGTATCAGTTAAGCAAGCGGCCCCGAGAGAACAAAACCTGCCTTTCCCAGCAGGCTGTATTCACCGCGGAGGAGGCCCGGCGGTCTGAATGGTATTTTAAGTCTCAAAATAACCCATGGGAATGTGTGAGACCCAACTCTTCTCCAAACCTCTCCAGGTTGTTGGTGGACTTGCCTCTGGTGCCCCAAGACCCTTGCGCCCTGTTCGTCCGCATGTCGTGGGGGCAGGTCCAGGGGACTCCGCTGGACAGAGCATCACAATACCATAAAACTGTCCCATAGCCTGTTTCCAAGACACTCAGCTGGGGCAGCTGGTCTCCGGAAAAGGAAGTGGGCTCGGAGGTGGAGGCAGTTCCTGAGTTTAAACCTCAGCGTTTCCACTGCTCAGCACCGTGGCCTCAGGCCCACTCCCGCAGCCTCCCTTTCTTCATCTGTAAACCGGGGTCAGAAAGCTCACCTTAGAGAATTTCTATGACTCCATTTTTCTTAGGATGCATGTGCTATGTCTCCACCGTAGGCTTATTTAGTGGAAACAACATTTTAAAAAAATCTTTATTGTTGAAAATATTACAGGCGTCCCCTTTTTCTCCCTGTACCTCCCCCCCCACTCCTGCCCCCTCCCCGGACCTGCAGCACAGTGTTGTCTGTGTCCACGGGTTATGCGTAGACGCATATAAGTTCTTTGGTTAATCTCTTTCCCGCCCCAACCCCCCCGAGATTCCTCGGTTCGTTGCATGTCTCCACATCTCTGGATCTGTTTTGTTCATCAGTTTATTTTGTTCATCAGGAAAGAACATTTTTAAAGCCGCAAGAACAGAGACAAGAAGGCAGACAGCCCAAGCGGTGGGGAAGGACGGAGTTGGCTCTACTAAAGCAAGTCTTTTCAGGGTGTCACCCATTCAGGGCGCTTAGTCAGAGCTGATTTCTGTACAAATAACCTGACCAGCTAATCTAACCAACTAAATAAAACTGCTGCACAATCACTCGCTGTGGTTTAATCTGTGGAAGTTACTAAAATGTAGAGCTTGACCATTTCATGGAACTGACTCTGCTTGACGGGTGGAAGAAGGGATGGTTGGGGGAGAGGGGCTTTCGCAGGACCTAGAGGTGCCAGCTCCGTGCCCAGCACCCTGACTCACGCTCCTGACACCCATGCTGGTGACAACACATTCAGAGCCATGCTTCGAGCCACGGCCTTCGGGTTGCTGGCAGTCATGCAGCCACTGAAGGACACACCAAGCTGGCTTTTGCCTCAGGTGCCTGAATTCGTGTCACGGTCCCGTGGGGTGACTGGGAAACCCTCTGATACTAGCTTTTCAAGTTCCTGCTAACGTGAAGGTATTGGCTTGTCCATTGGGGGCCTAACCTTTCTCACAGTTCATGTACCTAAGCTGCACCCCCACCTCTCATCCTATCCCCGCCTGGATACAGAGAAAGAAGTTTGCTTTCCTTTTAAAATTTGCTTCCTTTGGCCATAGGCTTCATAACATCAAGTAGTAACCTAACAATGTGAGGTTGATCCATTCGGGTCACCGTAATTAATTATGAACAACTCTCTCTTATTCTGGCCTCAACATTTACCCTCCGGCCCTCTAGCCTCAAACCCAATGATTGGCCTTTACAACGTGAAAGAAATAGCTTCCCTTTGCTTTTTTATGGGTTTAATTTTTTGACTCAAAGGACTAAGTAAAAGCCATTTAAACAATCACCAGAAAGCTCCAGCCCACTTCCTGTGAGCTTCCTTTAATCATAGCCTCAGGCTCATTAAGCCTTATCTGCGAGAAAAGACGCGGCCCAACATTTCCTCTCCACCGAGGCCTTGGCCCAAGACCATCCACAGAATGAAGGCGTTTGAGTGAGGGCCAAGCTGCAGCCCCGGCCGCGTCGGAGGACAGCGAACTGATGCGCCCCAGTCGCCGGGGCCTTGCCCAGCAGGAAGCCGGAGCTCCTGGGAAGACACGGGCACAGGATTTGTAAGGTGAGGGCTGCGGGCGAAGGACACTGGTTGTGTGGCACGTACTTCAGGGCTGGGCTCCACGTCGGTGGCCTTGGGCCAGGAGCGTGTGCAGGGGGGCCCTCAGGACGGGGACGAGACGAGGCAAACACTCTCTCGTCTCTCTCCGCTCTCACGGGCGCGTGCCCTCCTCCGATGGAAGTGAGTGGGTAGAAGGAAGGGACTCTCAGGTTTATTGAGATCCGTTGTCCAGACTGCGGGGTTCCAGTGTCTCCCTCGACCTGTGCCCACCTGTCCATCCGTGCCCTGGGACGGTCCCCTGACATGCAGTGTGACGTCACCCAGCTGCGGGCAGGAGACACCTAGTCCCTCGCCTGTGACATGCGACAGAAAGGTGGCGATCAGCACGTGCCTTGCTCGAGTGACAGCATTTGGGTTTGCATGGTACCTAAACTCTATCAGGTTTCATCCGAAATGACTTTTGAGCAAAATTAACCTGTTTGGTGTGAGCTGAGTATGTGGCTGTTTCTTTTGAGGATACAAGACCTATAAAGGAGTAAGTCAGTCTCCCCCCCCCCGTCTCTGTCTCTGTAGAGATTTACTATTTTACCTCAAGATAGTACAGCTACAGTGAATACTCCTGGATATTATTTCCTAGAGGGTTATCCTACCCCAGGAAATTATAAACCTCCAGTTAAGAAGGTAAACAACTAACCGATTGGACAAGACTTTATTTCAATATTTATTATAAAGCATATCCAAGGGTGACAATGAAGCTATTTTCTCTAAATCAGAGAAGTATTCCAAACAAAACATAGGTGCCGCCTTCCAGTCCTTAAGCCACAGACGGTGACTTCTGTGCACCCCCATTTGCACATTGAGATGACCAAAGCAGGGCCCCCCGACGTGAGATCGTGCATGCACCCGTGGAGCTTGTGCTCTGCTGCCCTGACTCCTTTTCTGGGGATGTGGGTCGGGGGCCGCTGGGGCGGAAGAGTATGAATGAAAAGAGCAGGCATGCCGAGAACTTGACCAGAGGGACCACAAAGGTCACGTTCAGTTGTGAAAAAAGAGAAAATCAGAAGTTAAAGGAGGCAAGCTGAGGTCTCCTCGTTGCTGGGAGACCGACAGGATCTGGGGTTGATGGACATTTCCCTGCCCGCCTCCCCGGTTCTGAAATCTGGATCCAGGTACTTCCAGGGGAGCTGACTGCAGTCTGCCCCGGGAACCCTCCTCTGCTGGACTGAACCAACCAGAGCTCTGTCCCCAGCTCAGAGGGTTGGCAGTGCCCGCAGGTGACCTCAGCTGCCCCGAACGTTCCCTGGGATGCTGAGTCAAGGACCCTCTCCTTCCACGGCAGACGCAGGTGATAACGGTGCCCTCGGAGCTGCTGGCAGCCTTCCCAGGACCGTGAGGCGAGGTTCTGCCCACATAAAATAATGCGAGGAAGTGGAGCTGGGCAGGAGCAAGAGCTGAGGGTTGGCTATGAAATCAAGCCTGGATTAAGTATCACCCAGAAGAGCCCAGTGTGAGGCTTGTTGAGCCAGTGAATCAATAAGTATCCTCTTGTCGGTGCCAGTTTTGCCCAGGTTTTTGGATTCCTGCCCTGAAGGCATTCTAGCAAACTGTGAGTCTGCATCACATCTCTCAGCCCTGTCACACCTGACCCCACCTTCTTCCTCAGCTACCAGCTGACCTTGCAGACACAGCCGCGCCAGGACCCACGGTGGGCATCGGTGGGCATCCTCCCTGGAGGCCGGCGCTCCGAGGAGGCCCGAGCTCCGGATCCCCAAGGCTCTGCCCAGATCCTGCTGCTGCACAAACTGCAGAGATCCCAGCATATTCCTGTCCCTGGGGCCGGACAGACTGACGGCTCCTGGCAGGGCAGACAACTAGAGAGAAAATTGTACAAGGAGCTAAGGAAGAGCTGGAGGACCAGGAAACAGGACCGAAGGTGACGTGAATTTGAAAAGAGAATGGCAATCCAGTTTCCCAGTGTGGAGGGGACACCTGGGAGGACTGGTGAAGGTCACACACCCAAGCGGAGCGTGTCTGTGCCTCACAGAGGCCACAACCTGGCTGCCCACCCGTCCACTGTGCGGCCTCTGTCCTGCCCCCGCAAACGGGCCCCAGGACTAGATGGGAGTCTGTGGAGAGTTACTGTGCCCCTCAGTTTACCCCCTTCCTGGGACATGAGGAAGATGCAACCACGGGGGGTGGACAGCAACTGCGGTCTTCAGGGGTCCCCCAAGTGGACCTGCCCAGGAGCCCCTGGTGCTTCCTCTGTCCCCTCACAGCCCCCAGGGCATCTCCCAGTCTCTCCTTCACCAGCGTGAAATCCAGGCACATACTCGACTCGATTCTAAAGCACCATTGCCCACAGCAGAATATTGTGACATTCGGTCATCAGAAAATTCAANTCCTTCACCAGCGTGAAATCCACGCACATACTCGACTCGATTCTAAAGCACCATTGCCCACAGCAGAATATTGTGACATTTGGTCATCAGAAAATTCAACCGTTCACTCAGTTTATTTTTCTTTCTAAAAAGTCTTATTCAATCTTAGAACATAACAAAGATAGGAATTTTTAAGTTTTTTGATGTGAAGTGTGCATGTAACCACTAAAAAAATAGAAATGAAATGTGTAAATAGTAGAGAAAAAAGAATGACAGAGCTTAACTAGTTTAGTGAAAAGCAAAGAAAATCAGCGGCACAAAATAAGATGAAAATAAATATATCAGTGGTTATAGTAATCATGAATGTATTAAACTCACCAGTTAAAAAAGAACTATTTTAAAAAATAAGGTGTTTTTTTAAACAATGTATCTTTATTGATCTCAGAGAGAGGAAGGGAGAAGGAGAGATAGAAACATCAATGATGCAAGTCATTGATCGGCTGCCTCCTGCATGCCCCCGACTGGGGATCAAGCCCCCAACCCGGGCATATGTCCTGAATNCAATGATGCAAGTCATTGATCGGCTGCCTCCTGCATGCCCCCGACTGGGGATCAAACCCCCAACCCGGGCATGTGTCCTGAACNGATCGGCTGCCTCCTGCATGCCCCCGACTGGGGATCAAACCCCCAACCCGGGCATATGTCCTGAATGGGAATCGAACCTCGATCTCCTGGATCCTATGTCGATTCTCAGCTGCTGAGCCATGTCTGGCCTGGCTAAAAAATAGGTTTCAATAAATCCAGCTATATACCACTTATGAAATACACACTTAAAATATAAAGATAGAGAAAACCAAAAATAGAGAAATAAATAGAAGACAGACCAATCAATCACTAAGAAATACTAATATCGAGAGAGAGTTTATGGAGCTAACGTTGTCAGGGATACGGTGCTTATCACGTAGTCATAAATGACACAGGCTACTGAGAACTCCTCCTTCAGCCAAGGGGCCCAGGCCTGAGAACGAAGGGACACGAGTTTCATCCTAATTCTGTAGCCACCTCCCTGTGTGGCTCCCAACCTGGCCACATTCTCTAAACCTGGAAATCAGTGTGAAATTATTCCTGCTGTTCACCCACTGATCCCAGAGTTCTCTGTAGGATGAATTAGGTAGGCTAGAAACGCCAACCTAAAACCACAAAAATGTCAAGTTTTTACAAGAAAATGTTCTCCTAACTCAATTCATTTGTTTTTCATGGATTTTTAGGATCATGAACGGAAGTAAACAAGCTGCCCACGGCCGGGTTTAGGTCTAGGCTTGACCTCAACTTGCCCGTCCTAAAGCAGAAATGGAAATACGGTCGCAGGTAAGACATCTGCCAGGGAAGGTGAAATAGCAGCATAATGACTGTGAGAGTGTCTGTGTGTGCGTGTGAGTGTGTGTTTGTGTGGGGGTGTTTCTATGTGAGTGCGTGTCTGTGTGTCTCTGTGTGCATGTGCATGTGTGTGTGTCTGTGTGAGTCTGTGTGCGTGTGTGTGTGACTATGTGTATGTCTGTGTGTGTGTGACTATGTGTGTGACTGTATCTGTGTGTGAGTGTGTGTGTGAGTGTGTGTGTTTGTGTGGGGGTGTTTCTATGTGAGTGCGTGTCTGTGTGTCTCTGTGTGCATGTGCATGTGTGTGTGTCTGTGTGAGTGTGTGTGTATGTGTGTGTGTGACTGTATATGTCTGTGTGTGTGTGAGACTATGTGTGTGACTGTGTGTCTGTGTGTGCATGTGTGTGTGCATGTGTCTGTGTGTGTGACTGTGTGTGTGAGNTCTGTGTGTCTCTGTGTGCATGTGCATGTGTGTGTGTCTGTGTGAGTGTGTGTGTATGTGTGTGTGTGACTGTATATGTCTGTGTGTGTGTGAGACTATGTGTGTGACTGTGTGTCTGTGTGTGCATGTGTGTGTGCATGTGTCTGTGTGTGTGTCTGTGTGTGTGTGACTGTGTGTGTGTGACTGTGTGTGTGTGACTGTGTGTGTGACTGTGTGTGTGCATGTGTGTGAGTGTGCCTGAATGTGTGCGTCTGTGAGTGTGGGTCTGTGTGTCTCTAGATGTGAAACGCACACACGACAGCTTGAAGAGACCTGGCGGGCAGAGGCTGGTTACAACGTGTCTGTCCCACAGCTGCTNTCTCTAGATGTGAAACGCACACACGACAGCTTGAAGAGACCTGGCCGGCAGAGGCTGGTTACAACGTGTCTGTTCCGCAGCCGCAGCGGGAAAATTCACAGGTTGGACGATCTGCATAAAGACTTAACGACACGATAAAATTAGACGTCTTTTACATAAGGTGTCACTTCAACGATTGGTTTTCCCAGTGTCAACCTTTCAGGTTGCAAAACGTGCAGTTCCTGAGGGAGATGGTGGCGCCGTTTCTCGCCTGCCCGGTGACCTCCCGTCCACTGGCTGGCAGTCCCGCTGAGAGGACAGGGAGTGCAAGGAGGAGACCCGGGGACCTGGAGACAGCAGGTGCCGGAGCCGAGGGCGGGCACGGACCAGGAGACGCCAGGAGGGGCCACATTCTGAGCTGTGCCTTGTGCGGGGAGACTAGCGTTAGGGGGATTGGGGGGTCACCTGTCCCCTGCAACAGAGGTCGTGGGCTCTGGCTGAGGGTTTGGTTCACGCGTTGGGGGCAGACACATCCTCAGTTTCATCTTTCAGAAGCAGAGAGGTAGAGCGTTCTCCACCCACCCCCGCAGGCTGTGGGCAGATGCCAGGCCCAGACGGAGCCTGTGCACAGGCTCACGGCTCTGCCATTTATAAAGCCGAGCCGTCAGATGCAAATAGGTCTGAATGCGTTTTCCTTCCAAGTGAAACTTGAGAAATTAATCTGTCGTTTTCACTTTGAGGCTGAAATCTGTATGTTGCACAAGTGGAGCCTGGTTGCCTCTCTCCACTTCTTATGCTCTTATGTAAAGAGCAAGCTTTCCCAGAAATAGACGACAAACTTCGCACATCCGAGGTGCGGAGCAGAATTCCTGCAGATTTAAAGAACTTGCTTCCTTGGAGGAGTAATGTGATCGATTGGCTGTTCTCCAAATGGCGATATTTCCGCTGGAGTCCTTGGCGAGACGGGCAAAGGGAATCTACAGGGAGCCAAGGGGGTAGTTCAAGCCCACAGAGAGCTCAGGGAACTCAGGTTCCTAATCTACTCTCCCTCTCAACGGCCCGCTGCAGTTCTTTAGACAAATTAAAGGACCAATGGATATGCATTTCTTCAGTCACAGTGCACTTGGTAGACATTCAGGCACAACCCGTGTGTCAGGCGCGGGGTTGGGGCTGGAGAAGGCAAAGCTACGGCCAAGCCTCTCCTTTCAAAGAATTCTGCTCCCGAGAGCCTGACACAATGAAAACGCTGCTTATTAATATCATTACTATCCTGAAATATATGTTTTAATCTAGGTGTCGCGGGGTTTAGGGAGAGCCGGGGAGAGGAGGCACTTACCTGTACTCAGTGGGTGAGGGTAAGGTAAATACGGGGGGAAGGAGAAGACATTCTAACAGGAAAACCAGGGTGGGGTTGGGGGCACACACTTCTGATGTCAGTGAAAGCGCCCTTTGTTCTTTCCTTAACATCTTTATTGTTGAAAGTATTACAGATGCGCCCCCCTTTCTCCCATTTCCCCCCTTCTACCCCCACACCCTAGGCCTTCACCCCATTATTGTCTGTGTCCATGGGTTGTGCATATACTCATATAAGTTCTTTAATTGGTCTCTCCCACCCACTCCCCCACCTCCACCGTCCCTCTGAGATCCCTCAGTCTGTTCTCTGTGTCTCTGGATCTATTTTGTTCATCAGTTTATTTTCTTTATTAGATTCCACAAGAAGTGAGATGATGTGATGTTTGTCTTTCTCTGCCTGGCTTATCTCACTTAGCATGATACTCTCCAGGTCCCTCCGTAATGTCCCAAAGGGTACGAGGTCCTTCCTCTTTACAGCTGCGTAGTATCCATGGTGTGAATGTCCCACAGCTTTTTTATCCACTCATCTACTGATGGGCACTTGGGCTGTTTCCAGATCTTAGCTATAGTAAATTGTGCTGCTATGAACATAGGGGGGGCATAAGTTCTTTCTGATTAGTGTTTTGGGTTTCTTAGGACATATGCCTAGAAATGGGATCACTGGGCCAAACGGCAATTCCATTTTTAATTTTTTGAGGAACCTCCGCAGTGTTTTCCACAGTGGCTGCACCCGTCTGCCTTCCCACCAGCAGGGCACTTTCCCTCCACATTACACCCTTTGTTCCTATTTGGGGAAATTTTCACTGTCTTCTCCATGGGCTTTAAAATAGTAGAGTTGAAAGTAGTGAACTAAATTTTATCACCGTGGTTGTTAAAAGCGAACAAGCTGCAGTAGTAGCTCTCTCATCACAAATTGGAAGCCTTTCCTGGACAGTCACCCTAACCAGGCGGCCGTGTTTGAAACTTTGCTTTTGGGTGTCCTCTAAAGGCGGAAGCCCCAGTGGTATGAAATGAAGATATTCTGATAAAACAGATTAATGTTTAGGTCAACTAATCTGACAGTTATCTTCAAACATAAATTCCAACTCGGTGAGAGGATCCTTTGAGGCCCAGCCTGATTTCTTGTCTCTGAGTTTGAACATTTACCGGCCTGACCAGCTTCCCGTCTCCAGCACAAACTCTCACCTCCAGGCAGAGGTGTTTACGGAGCCCGGGCCTGGAGCCGGAGACACGGCTTTGACCTTGAAGCCTGGTTCTGGAATCTGGGAGCCTGCCTGCAGCTCAGACACCACCTTGGATCTCTGTTCCTATAACAGCACCTTTTCTTGTTCTCACGTTTGGGGATTAGTTTTGAAAGTGTCCACTGCAGAGTCCGCCCCTGAGAACTCGTCCTTGTCTGGGGTCTGCTCCCTGAGGAGAGAGGTTCTTAGCTACACCCTGATCACCACGGGATCCTGGCGTCCTTGTCATCAGCCCCCAACTGCGCTTGGAGAATCCCTCTGCTCTGGCTCACGAGCCCTTGATATGAACTGTGGTTTGAGCACCGCATGTTGGCTGTGGCACTGAGATACTGTGTTTTTCCTACCAGACTAAAATTCCTCACGGCAGCAGGACCAAGGCTTTTCCTTGTAAGCTTCCACCCTGCATCGGTTTTGCTATTTTTAAGAACATGAGCTGAGCCCACAAAGGTGAGCGAACCAAGTGTTATTAAACCAACACAGGATTCTGAGTTAGCTGTGCCACCCCCTGCCTGGGCATCGCCGCCTCCGCCCTCTGGCTCAGTGAACGCCTGGATCCAGCTCTCACTTTCCACCCAGGTGATAATTGGGCCTCAGCTGTTATTTTCTATCTCGTTTATTCCTGTGGGATCTTCTAAACTATGCATTTCCCTTTCTCCTGTTTCTGTTCAGATAAAATCAAGACCACCTGGCTCTGAAGGCTCAGGCTCACCTGCCATGTGGTGACGGGAGGGTGCAGCTCTAGGTCCGAGATGTCCTAGCTCATCATACCTGACCCTGCACACCTGGCCACCATGTGTCACCATCCGCTATCCTGTTCTGGCAAATTGTAAGGACTTAATAAATATTTGCAAATAAATTTATAAATACATAAAGCCCATTTCAGGTAAAAATAACATATATCTTGAGATATAGTTTCCATCCCTACCCCCGCCTTTTACACCTTCCTTTAATTCACATCCTGCTTAATTCTACAGAACTTCCCTGAAGATTAGTGTGAACGGTACTATCTTGATCCTTCAGAGAGAGGCTGCAAGGACTCGAGGTTGGATTTGAAGAGATTAAGTAATGAAATATTTATTTGTTGTGCCTTTCTTAGACCAATTGTCTCCTTGATTGGCCAAATACTCTTTTATTTGGATGCTTGCTAAAATGTTGGCCCAGGCAGCCTGTCTGAATTTCGCCCATCCTGTGAATGAGCATCATGTCCCTGAGACACCTGGGGGCCCAGCAAGGACAAGTACGCAGTGTTTGCCTGATGTTCAGTGTTTCATAAAATTGAGCGCCCAGCACCAGGCGGAGCCACGCTGGACAGGGTTCCCTTTTGCTTCTTGATTCTACATGTCTGCATTGACCTAGTGCACTGATCTTTCCCCAGCAAGAAGGATTTTTCTCACTTAAGGTAAAACTTAATGTTACCAGTCATAGCTCATGCGTGTTTGAACCGAGCCTGTCCAAACGGATGTGTCGGATATGAAAGCGGCTTCCTGTCTTCTCAGTCCCCCTGGGCCCTTCCAAAGGCAGGCGTGAGCACAACGTCACTGCCATGAGTGTCAGGAGCCAACAGCACTCCTGGGCTAGGTGACTATTTTAATAACTACGTATGGCTTGAAACAACAGGACCAGTAGTCAGAAATTTTGAGTTGTATGGGAATCGTCACCATAATGATACCAGATCCATCTGAAACTCTTTAAAACTTGAGACTTCTTGGGATGAATTTGCTGGAATGTGCAGCACTTAAAGGCAAATTTTTAAAACATATGTTTTTATTGATTTCAGAGAGAAGAAGGGAGAGGGAGCGAGAGAGAAACATCAATGATGAGAGCGAGAAACATTGATGGGCTGCCTCCTGCATGCCTCCTACTGGGGGTCCTGTGCCCTGACCTGGAATCGAACCCTGACCTCCTGGTTCCTAGGTCGATGCTCCACCGCTGAGCCACGCCGGCCGGGCCCACAGCATTGTCTTTACGGCTCTTCTGAAAGTTGAGTAAGAATTCAAGTCTCTCCGCGGGTCCTCTGCAGCCTGGCGGCATCAGCCTTCCTTTGAGAGCCTCCCAGTCCTCAGTGCTTATTTGGGCGCCGATCACCTCCATGCGCTGTCCTGGCTGTGGGCCCGAGCGTAGCTGGTGAGCGTCGGTCGCACCGAGAGCCCCTGGGTCCTGTAGCTACATGCCCGCTGACGGGTCAGGGTGCGCACACCGCCCCTTCCCTCTAAAGTAGCTCTGAACTGAGCTCCAGACACTTGGAGTTGAGGGAAATTGACATTTCTAATTAATAATAATAATAATAATAAATTGCTGATTGTCAGAGTTCAAAGAACAATGTTCTGTGCCAAGGAGAGTGAAATTGGAGGATTCAAACTATCAGATTTGAAGTTTTACTCTAATCTGCAGTAATTAGGGATAATCTTATACTGGCATAAAAATAGACGAGCTGATCAAAGGGGCAGAGTAGAAGGTACAGCACATATAATTACTTCATTTTCTAGAAAGGAGCCAAAGTAATTCAATGAGGGAAGGAAAGTCTTTCCAATAAACATGTTGGAGCAGCCAGATATCTATATTTAAAGAAATGAACTTTGGTTCCTCTTTCAGAGCACACACAGAATTTATTTTAAGATGGATCATAGGCCTTGATTTAAATGCTAAAAGCAGCAGGCTTCTGGAACTACGCTATCCAACACTGCAGCCACGACCCACGTGCAGCTGCTGAATACGAGAAACGTGGCTGGTCCCACCTGAGATGCGCTATAATGTAAAATACACACTGATTCCAAAGACAGTCCAAAAAATGTAAACTAGCTCATTGGTAATGTGTACATTGATTATATTTTGAAATAATAATATTTTTATATGTTAGGTTAAACAAAATAAATTATTAAAACCAACTCATCTGTCTCTTTTCACTTTTGATTAATGTGACCACTAGAAAACCTAAAATTACACACATGGCTCATGTCTGTGACTCAGTATAGTTCTATTGGACAAAGCTGGTGAAGAAAAAACACGGGAAAATGTCTGCAAGTCTAAAGGACACACACACAAAATACCGATCATATAGGAAAAAATAACTTGGACTTCATCAAAATGAAAACTTCTGCCCATCGAAAGACATCATGAAGAAAGTAAAAGGGCAAGCCACAGACTGAAAAAAATATTTCAGTATGCACACCTAACAAAAGACTGTATACAGAATAAATGAAAAACTGCTATAAATTAATACAAAAAAGACAAGCAACCAGAAGGAAAAAATTGAGAATAAGACTTGAACAGGTTGGTATTTCACAAAAGAAGGTACTGGAATGGTCAATGAGCCGATGAAAAAGTGCTGTAACGTCACTGGTTACCAGGGAAATGTAAATTAAAATCAGAGTGAATCCATGCAAACAGTGACCTGTTTTTGACATAAGCACAGAAGCAACTCTGTGAAGAAAAAGATCATCTCTTCAAGAAATGGCGCTGGAACGACTAGATGCTGTGCAGGCGGAACGATGGTCCTCAGAAAGGGCCGCATTTGAATCCAGCACCTGCGAGCGTGTTCTCGACCTGGCGAGGGGCCCAGGTCACAGCTGGAGTGAAGGTTGCTGATCAGCTGGCGGGATCACCAAAGAAGCTTATCCCGGAGGCTCAGGTGGCCCCACGTACTCATGAGGGTCCTTCAAGGGAAGGTGGGGCCAGAGAGAGGCAGAGAGAAGCAGCCGGAGGAGGGCGAGGGGCGGCCCTGAACAGGCGAGAACGAGACCAAAGCCCGGGAACTCGGCTCCCCTGGAGCTGGAAAGGTAAGGAAATGGGTTTCCCCCAAAGCCTCCGAAAAACAGCCCAGCGACTCCTTGTGTTCGCCCAGTGAGAGCCGTCAGGCTCCGCCCTCCAGACTGTGAGTCACGGCCCAGGTACACGCGTGACACATGGTGGGAAAGTAGCTCGTTTAGGTATTAACTGACCTCCACGCCCATGCCAACCGTAAGGCCGAGAGTGGATGATTCTAGTTTCAGGATCTTTCAACAGCTGGAAATTGGCGAGAGCCGCAGTTGTGTCTGTTTAAAGGAAACGCCTGAGGTAGAAGATCCTTAGCTGTGCTATTGTGATTATTTTTAAAAATTCAGTGTAGCTTAATTATGTAGCCTAACTGTGAAGCCAGCTTAGCTCTCAATGTTGAAAATCGCTTATTTATTTGCAAATAGATGACCATTTTGCAAGTATTTATATTTCGGTGCAGTGATTGCTCATTCCTTAGGTTGGGGGTCCTCTTATCTCCTCCCCAGTCCAGCTGGTTCCAAGCGAGCACATTGAACGTGGCCACCACCCCGGGGGCCACCTAGGAACCCGGAGTCACCTGGATAGTCACAGGTCCGCTGTCCCTCACGTCCAATTAGCCGTCAGCCCTAATGATGCCAATTTGTTTTCACTCTCACTCGGTTTTTAAGTCTCCGAATACTTTAAGATCTGTTGATTTTTAACCCGACGCACCGAGGGTCATCTAATTTCCTTGATTTCTAAGTTTTGCTCCCTCCACCCACCTCTCTATCATTCTGTTTGCATAAAGCAGTTTATTGTCAAGTGGAGCCAAGAGCGTGTCTGGCACAACCGAGGGGCAACAAGCCGGCAGCACTGCCGGGTTCTCGGGGGGTGAGGGGACCTGGGTTGTGGCCTGAGGCAGGTGGCAGGGTGCTGATGGTGCAGACTTTGCAGGTTGCCGTAAGAAATGTGCTTTGTTTCTGTTTTCCCCGTGATGATGGGAAAGTACTAAAGTTTAGTTTTAGGCAGAGAAGTGAAATTATCTGAGGCTGATTGTAAAGAATCGCTTTGCTCTGTGACGATGAAACCACGGTGAGCAAGAGAAAGGGGAGACCTGGGGGATGGCTCTACTCCAAGCGAGGGTGGGGGTGGCTCCGCCCCGTTGATGGTGCTGGAGGCGGCAAGACAGCGTCAGAATCAGGGTATTTCGGTGTTAGTGGGGCGGGTAGAGCCCCTAAGAGGTGCTGAAGGCCACCAGGATTTGTTTTATCTGAGCTTTTGACTAACTGTTGTCTGGTTTCTGAGATCAACATCCTGGGGAGAGGAACAGGCCAGGAGTTCAGTTTGGGACATTTAACTCTGACGTGCCCCACAGACACTCAACTGGAGATGCCAAGTAAACACTCACATGTGAGTCCGGAATTTAAGGGACGTGGGTGCTGAAGGCAGGCATTTGAAAGTTGTCAGGGTCTAGATGCCGGTGGGGCTGGATGAGATCACCGTGGGTGCAGAGGAAGATGAGAGGTCGCTGGAGACCAAGGTGTGGGAACATCCAACTCTGGGAGCTCAGGAGGCACAAGGGACTGAGAGCTCTCAGGATGAGCCAGGAGCGGGGGGCCCGCTGCTGGCACAGTGAGGAGACAGCTCGGAGGAGGGGCAGCGACCGAGCAGTTCAACTGACGCTGGACACTCTGGTCACTGACGGTGGGGAACCGATCGCTGGGTTTAGCGACACGGGGCCGTTGGTACCTCGAGAAGGGGAGTGTGTAACTGCCCTGGGCGACCGTTAGTGAGATGCC